CCTGTGTGCCTAGTGCCGAGAGAGCATTAAAGCCTGGAAAATCTACCGAGGGCTCCAGGACCCTGTCTGCCGGGATCGACAGTGAGCCTGCCCTGTGCGTGCGGGCACAACAGCCAGTAAGCACTGAGAGCACAGTGCTCATCTGCAGTGAGCCTGGTCACAGGGGACGCTCATGGCTCAGCTGGGGAAACTGAGGCACGGGCGCTGAATCCCTTGTCTACTCTCATATAGTTAAAAAGTGGCAGAGCAAGGTGGACAGCTGCTTCCCTAACATTCAGGCTGCCACTCTTACCACTCTCTGTTCTGAGTCTGGGCTCCTGTGCCCTGGATCTGAAGGGCTGGGAATGAAGAGGCTGGCTGATACTCAGCAAGGCACCAAAGTCCAGAGGCCATTCACCATCACAGATACCTCTGCACCTCAGAGACAGGTCTCCCCATCCTCCTCCACATCTGGGCGCAGCTAGAGCCTCAATTCCATCCTCCACCCGGCAAACAGCGGCATCCTAAGGGACCACCTTCTGCTCTGACCGTAGCTAATAGTGTGTGAGCCGCTGTTTAAGGGCTTTGCCTGTACTTCCTCATGAAATCCTCACAGCAACCCCACAGGACAGGTGCTGGTATCAGTCTCCTTTTACAGATGAGGACACTAAGGCTCAGAGAGGGTCAGGAACTTACACAAGATCATAGTTTCGAGTAATGGTGGAGTCACATCGTTAAAATACAATTTCTCATATATGTTTGGTTTTCACAGAAATTCCCCTCACGGTTCACACAACTCTTAGAATTTCTCAGCGTGGAGAGTGATAAAGGTATCTCTTGTTATGGTAATGAAGGTAACTTTTATGAAAGCACCAATGAGGGGGGTTGGTTGCCAGGGAACCCAACCTGAATAGAGGGAGGTACCCTGATTTCAGGGAAGAGAGAGGGACTAGAGGTTGAGTTCAATTGTCAGTGGCCAATTATTTAATCAGTCATGCCTATGGGATAAAGGCTCCATAAAAGCTCCAAATGAAGGGCTTTCAGAGAGCTTCCAGGTTGGTGAGCAGGAATATTTGGGGAGGAGAATGTGCCTGACACACAGTGTCCCCCATACCCTGCCCTACGCTTCTCTTTATCTGGATGCTCCCCAGTGATACCGCCTTTTAATAAATTGGTGATCCAGAGTAAATGGGTTTCTTGGGTTCTGTGAGTCACTGGCCAATTAATCAAACTTGTAGAAGGTGTCCTGGGGCTCTCTGATTTATAGTCAGTCAGCCAGAAGTACAGATAACAACCTGGGCTTATGATAGCCACTGAAGTCTAAGGAGGAGTCATGGGGACATCTGATGAGTAGCCTAGTGGGCTCTACAGAGCCCAGGGCTGTGACTGGCACTGGAAGTGGACAGTTGCCTTGGGAACCCTCAGCCTGTGTAGTCTAATGCTATGCCTAGGGGTAGACAGTATCAGAGTGGAGCAGAATTTGTGTGCACCCTGTCTGAGAATTGCTTGTTGAGCTGGGGAGCCTCCACATGGCCCAGTTGGAAACTGGGTCAACAAACCCTATTCAGCTGGACTTGTTCCTTCCCCACACGCACAGCCCCCGAGAGCGCCCCCCTCAGCCTGCAGCATCTTCCTCCTAATGCACTACTCTCTCTGGCCCCATAACAGAGCACCGCCCTTTCAGAGAGCAGGCAGCCCCCTGTGAGGCTGAGGGGCAGTAAAGACCACCCTGCACAGGACTGCTGAGCCAGCGGCTGCCCCCAGAAGTGCAGGGGTGGGGTTTGAGGGAGCAGCAACAGCAGCCACCAACCCTCCTGACCAGAGCATGACAGCCACACGACCAAGCGTGGGCCACCGAGGGGGGCTCCCTGGGGGAGGCCCTGGGCACACCCTGCCCCCCGTCCTGGGTCACCTATCCCCCCAGCCACTGGCAGCACAGAAAATGTTTTCACAGCTGTCTCTGAATTTTCTCCTGGAGGGGAGAAGATCTGGGGTTGTGTGTCGGGAATACCAGATGATGCTGTGGGAGCAGCACCCCAAGTGCTCACCCCAGTCTATGAGCGCCCACCCAGGGTTCTGGGCCTCCCAAAAGGCCATGTTGGGGAGCTGAGGCTGAGGACCAAAGGAGCCCCAGATTTCCCTGCTCAGGAATGGAGTGTGATAGGTAGCATTGTCCTGGTATTTTCTGGAATCCTCTAGATTCTGACATGTGTGTATTCAAGTGGATGGCACTGTCACTCTCCATTAAGTAGCCTGTCGACTGTCCTCGCTGTCCATGACACGTCTCTGGAAGCTTGCTCCTGCCTGGGTGGAGGTCCCAAGCTTCAGAATCAAGCTCAATTCTTGTTCTTCAGTCCCATGACCACACAGATTCAGACCTGGATGCACTCAGGTCAGGCCCTGCTGCCCAAGCCTCGATTTTCTGCACTGTGGGGTCAGACTAAGTGGGCTGTTGCACACCTCACCCCCACATTCCAGGACAAGGGATGTTTGCACCCCTTCCCCTTCGCCCCTCCCCCTGCCTGACCCTGCAGGAAACCATGTGCTCTGGAAGATCAGTACTCAGAGAAAGGGGTTAGGTACCTGAAGACAGCAGGGCTCCATGAAAGGAGAAAGACAGGTGCCAAGGTCTCCAACCTGGAGACCCCTAGGTTTGTAGGGTTCCTGCAGCCCCAGGTTCACTTCTGTGGTTCTGCTCCCCACTGGCTCTGCATCCTTCAGCTGGTCCCAGCCCTGCTCAGTGTCCCCAGCAAAAGTTCTCCAAGGCTTGAATATTTTTTTTACGACCTCTGGGTGGTGTTGGTTAAGTGGCAAATTTCCAGCCTGGCCCCAAAGAGACCAGTTGTAGGTCTAAGGTCCCGTCTGGGAACCTGCACTTAAACAATTACCCCAGAAGCTTCGGATGCCAACTACACTTTGCGGGCTGGCTCACAGGAGCACTGGTTTAAGTCAGCAGGAAGGCAGAGACAGTGCCAGGCAGGAGTGGGGGGCAAGAGGCCACTCCCACAGGGCCAGCTCTGGCTGAAAGCGCCCAGAGGGGCTGCTACTGACCCTCCCACTCCAGCCCCCCAGGAAGGCTTTCGGCCTGGGAGGCAGTGCATACTCTGCTTGCACTTTTTCTCTTTTCTTCTGAAGTTCTTTTTAATTTTTTATATCTCTATATATATCTATATCTATATATAGATATAGATATTTTTTTTACATCATTCTTCATTTGTATATTTTTCCATTGTGGTTGCAATACCCGGGGACTTCCCACCACCCCTTCACCCATGTGCCATCACATAGTCTCATGTGCTCTTCCCACCCCAGTTTTGATCCTTTCCCCTCTCCCCTGCAGAATGTCTCCGGTTTATAGTTGCTTGTTGATTTTGATTTTTATTTGATTACAATTCCTTTTTTTTTTTTCTGATCCCTTACGCTCCTGCTAAGAGTGAAACCATCCAGTATTTTTCTTTTTCTCCCTGGCTTATTTCACTAAGCATGATCCCTTCCAGCTCCATCCATGTAGCCAGAATTCTAATTATAGGTCACTTGTCTGCCCCCTGACCCCCAACTTTCTTCTCCCTTTTTCTTCTCTGACTTTAGGGAGCTTTTGGGAACTGGGATATTTTGTGACAACTTGAAGATGAGGACTATGTCCGCTTCCCTGACCGGTCAGCTCGGTTATGAAGAAGCTGCTGCTGAACCAGGCCCACCCTGACCAGCAGCCCTGTCCTGCCCCAGGAAGAGGGAGATGGACAGGAGGCCACCCCAGGAACCTAAGCCCACTGCCACTGAGAACACAGGTCCTGAATTGATGCTCTCCAGTTGTGTGACCTTGGGTGAAGTCTGCTCGGGCCTCGGTTCCTCACTGATACGCAGGCTGACGAGAATACCAGTGTGTGCTGAGCACTTACGACGTGCCAGGTCTTTTCTAAGTGTTTTCTGCTTATGACTCATGTAGTCCTTACACCATCCCTGCGGCACAGATACCCACCATCTCCCCATTTTGTATGTGTGGACACTGAGACCCAGCGGGGCAGAGTCCTGCCGCAGGCTGCTGCTCAGATAGAGGGTTCTGGAACTGACACTGGCTGCAGAGCCCAGCTCAGCTCACCCAGCTGTATGGGCGCTGTATCTGACCACTAAAGAGCAGAGAGTTAACAGGCCACTTGGAACACACCTCTGTGAATTGCTGTTGCTATTGTTTTCCTCCCTCTTTGTCCTTCCAGCGGGATTTTCAGCCAGGCAAGTGCACCCACTCTTGGCTTCATCTCCATGGGGGTGGTGAGAATGGCTCAGAACTGTGTGTGATGGAACCCAAGAGCAATTCCCCACTTCCAACCCATCTACCCTTGCATCAGAATAGCACACTAAGGACCACACTTCTCATGTCTCTGAGTTCTTGGCTGTTTGAGCAGCCGGACAACTCTTTTGCCCACTTGCTTCCCTGAGAACAGGGTTGACAGTGGGAGCGATGCTCCTTCTCAGCTTCCACATTGGAGCTTGGCTTGGCAGGATTATGGGAGAGCCCAGGAGGGCGGGAGGGTGGGCGGGAGGGCAGGAGGATGGGTTGGCCACTGTAGGCAGAGGCTATCTGCTTCCAAGCGGGAACTCCTAGGAGCTCTATTCTTAGAGCGCTTTCTCTTGCTTTTAAATTTGACATCTTCTAGAAGTTACCCTGCACAAAAGCAACCCTGCCGTGGCAGTAATTTATATGTCATGTCACTTGCACAGAGCAAGGTCCACCCCCTTCAACCCACTCCTGCTCTAGCCCGCTCAGAAAAAAATGGCTTCTACATCATTCTAACCAGCATCCTTCCAGACATTCACCCGGAGAGTAAAAGTGATAAATGTGAATGAACAGGGGAGCGGGGTGGGGGTGAACAGGAGAGGCAGAGGGAAACTTTGGTTCAATCCAAGCTGGGAACTTCCTGGATTCCAGACTGGGCATTGCTTCCTCCAAGCAGCAGTCCGCATTGCCATGGCAACAGCCCAGCAGTGGCCACTGCCCAGCTCCCCAGACGGGTGCCACTTACCGTGATGGTGCTCTCCTTGCTCTGCTTTTTGCCGGGAGATGAGGGTCCCAGGTTCTGGGGAGAGAGGCGAGAAACATCATCAAAGCTGTTCTCCATATTGGACATCTTTTTTCATTCCGTTCCGAAGGTGGAGGGATTGGTTAAAAGCCCCGTGCTGGGGAAGTTCGAGATGCTCAGACTCCCTTAACTCCTAAGTCACCATATTCTGGGAGAGGGCAGGCAGGAGCGCCCCTGACCTGCTGCTGCCACACCCTGTCCTGCTTTAAGGGGAGCTGGAGGGAGCCCCCAGCACAAGCTTGGAGGGACTGCTTCCCACCAGGTCTGCCTCCTCTTTCCCCAGCCTATGATTTGGGGAGTTAACCCCTCAGCTGCCCTCTGCTGGTAAACAGTTGTGCTTGTATTGCCTGAACCTGCAGAATCCACGTAGGAATGGGGCATTAAGCCCCAAGGAGGCCACCACCTCCTGGTACTGAGGATTTGAACATGACCTCTTATTCTGAATGTTCAACATATCATATCAAACCCGAAATGCATGCTATGGGTGCTGGGGTGGTCAGCCTCCTCCATGATTGGCTGCTTCCCCAACCCTGAGAACTGGGAGGGATTTCTCAGTTACGTTTTAACTTCCATTCAAAACTTGGTTTGCCTTTTCTTTTTGAAGATTTATTTATTTACTTATGCGTACAGAACTGGGACTGGGGTACAGGCCAGAGGTGCAGGGGCGGTGAGAGGCTTCACCAGAGACAGAGTGGGGCACAGGACAGGTCAGGAGAGGTCTGCCGTGACATGTGGGTCACCTCTGGGGCTGGGGATTGAACTCACACTGAAGTGGCTTTAACTTCTTAGTGCTGTGCCACCAGGGAGGGCCCTGATTTGCCTTCTTTATGTCTTCCTAGTGCCAGTAAAAAAAAAAAAAAAACAGTCCAAAACCCAGTCCCAGGACAGTTCTGGTATGGAAAATTAAGGATTGCCACTAAAAAAAAGCCGCATTTGTCATTAAGAGCCTATGACTCCAATGGGAGGGTCATTCTTAACACACTAGCACTTACATTGGGGACCAGCAGCCCTGAGTGAGGTTCGCTCCTGTCCTGAGTCACACAAGAGATGGGAGGAAAGCTCACTCCCAGGGCATGGGGTGACTTTTGTAATTGTGTCCAGGTGCTAAGACCTATGTAAGGAAATGGCCATGAGGACTTCACAGGTGAAGGCTAGGTAAGCAAAGAGGGCTTCTCCAATAAGGGAGCTATCTCCCTCTACCTGCTCCCCAGGGGCCAGGATAGTCGTGATATATAGCAAAATGAGCCCTGGAGGCGGGATCAGCACTATTTCAAGAACCCACCTGCAAAACAGGGACCCATCAGGCAAAACAGGGAGCATGGTTGAGTCCCTGTTCATGGTCTCCTCATTCCCTTACTCCTATGCAAAACTGGTTGGGCTGGGAAGTGAAGCCCACGAGTGAAAACCCAGGTCTGCCTGGCTAACAGGCACCTAACAGATGGCCCAGTTCACGGACACGAACACAATAGCCTTCACATCCTGCTGGGTAACTTCTTTGAGGCTCATTTTCACCACCTGTTGGCCAATCGGCCTCAAGAACATCAGCTATAACTGAGGAGTTTGCCCAAAACAGAGTCCCAGTCACACATTTCAGAGTTTCTGATCTAGCAGGTCTCAGGTGGGCCAGAACCTTTGAATTTGGGAACCTTCCCTGGAGACACAATGATCTACCCTGTGCCTTTTCACCCAATGTTGCCCCAAGCCTCCAGGCTCCCCTCACTCCCAAGGCTCCCCACCCCCCCACACACCCCAAGCAGCCCTGACAGATCTGGGACAAGGACAAACTTGTGACCCATTACAGCTTCTTTAGATGTTTTAACACACCAGCTCATCCAGCTCATCCAGGGCATGGGGTGACTTTTGTACTTGTGTGTAGGTGCTAAGACCTATGTAAGGAAATGGCCATGAGGACTTCACAGGTGAAGGCCAGGTAAGCAAAGAGGGCTTCTCCAATAAGGGAGCTATCTCCCTCCACCCGCTCCCCAGGGGCCAGGATAGTCTTGATATATAGCAAAATGAGCCCTGGAGGCGGGGTCACCTTCCCAAGCTATCAGCCCCGCCAAATCACTTGCCCAAACTGGGTGGCCTGGGAGGAAGGCAGAGAGAGGGTGCAGGGCAGGAGCCCAGGTGCTGCTTCCCAAGAAGAGCCAGGTACACAAGTCTCTTGCAGATTCATTTAGCAGAGGCACTGGCCAAGCAAGTACATTCCTGGAAGGGGGGAGGGGCAGGACTGAGTTGGATAGTACAGTGTGCAGCAGCAGTCACCCCGTTAAGCATCCACACCACCCCCACCAGCACCCCTGCTGGCACTGCTCCCTCTCCTGCCCACCAGGAAGGCAACCGGTGTCTGCAACTCTTGACAACAACATTCGAGTCTATACATTGATGCTGATGAGGAGAAGGACAAAGAGGTTATCTACCAGAAAGGAGAAGTCTACAGATACTTCTGTCACTGAACACTTTTCATGAGGCTCTGGGCTAACCATAGGACACTCTTACTCTCATTCAATCTCTACAACCCCAGCAAGTTAGAGCACCATTTCCATTTCACAGAGGATGATGTCAAAGCTTGAAGAAATGAATTTGTCCAGCACCACAAGGAGAGTAACTAGAGGAAGGCAGAACCCAAGCCTGAATAACTTTGCTATCTTCTGTCCTCTCTCAACTTTGAGACCTGGAGTCAACATGATCTCCACCATTCATGATTTGGGGACCAGAGTGTCAAAGGTTCAGTGGAATGAAACTGGATAGATACAGAGGTCACCTCTTCCTTATAACTTAAGCCAAGATGGGAGTACCAGTAATGGCACTGAGGGTGGGGGTGCTAAGTGTGGGCGTCAGCACCCAGGTCACAAGTCTCTCCACACAGTTTTAGGCTCTGCTTTTCCTGCTCATGACCAGCTCCTACATCAACATACCCATACACACATATCATGTGTATGCTTTACATATATGCCTTTCTCTCACACACACCATAATACTCCACTGAATGTGCTCAGAAGCACGTTATATAGTAGTGCTCCATCTACTATACAAGAGTTTCTAAATACTGTTCCCCACTAATTCCAGGTGCCAGGTGGGCATGGAACATCTTAATGTGCTGGGAAGCAAGATTGTGCAAAGAATGATGGTACAGAACAAATGGGCATTGCACCCTACTTAAAGGGGTCCCCGCAAGTCAAATTTGAGACTATTTGAGCATGAATATAAATAATGGCAGCAAATGGTTAACTCCAAAGGGGGAAAGCATTTCTTTACAGAAGAACACCAATGATGTTCAAGAAGTTAGAAAATCATCATTCGCAAACCCTAATGTCAAAAGAGATTCCATGATCATCAAGGACACATAAAGGACTGAGCAAAGGCTGCTAGGAACAGGCTATGCACAGGGTCTAGGGAACAGGCTATGCACAGGGTCTTGCCCTACCAGCCCACAGATTGCTGATATGTTAGAAAGGGAAGATGTTCTAGATCTGAGGCACAGCAGGGGAGGAGGGTCAAAACAGGGGCAAGAAGAGCACAAGCGACTGTGGTGATGGATCACAGGTGCTGTGGATGTGCAGGAACTATGGGGATGACAACCAAAGGCAGAAATCAAATACAAGTGAACAATGATGTAAGAAATAAATATCAAAAAATTTTAATATTATGAAAAACAAAGGGAATGTTCAAGTTTCCCTGCAAAGGACAGCTCCAGCAGTCACCACATTAACCAAGAACACAGGCTCAGGGTGACCTGGTGGGAGGGGGGCCTGGGAGTGAGCACTTCCTCACAGGGGTGCTAAGACCCAGGGGCTATTGTCCAGCTGCTGAACCTGACCCTGAGCACAAGAGAATTAGACTACAAGAACAACTGACCTGGACTTCTCCCCAGAAAAGGTTAATGTGAGGAAAGACAAAAGAACACATGCATGAGGAATACAATCTAGATGAAAAGAGACACAAGTGGTAACTCAGATGCAACAGTAAATCGATGCAATGGAATATTACTTGACCATAAAAAGATGAAGCACTGGCACATGCTACAACATGAATGTATATTGTCTGATTTATACTCCTATCTCTTTTACAGCCCCCACTGTATTTTAAAGCAAAATCCTGGTGTAGTTTTTAAAATGAATTGAAATAGTCTAAGTAAAAGAAGTAAGATTCCATTTAGAGGCTTTGTCCAGAATAAGTCAATCTATAACAACAGACTGGTGATTCTCTGAGACTGAGTGGGGTTTTCAGGCTGATGAAATGTTCTAAAATTGATTTTGATGAAGTTGTACAACTCTGACTACACTAAGTACCACCATATCATACATTTTAAACAGGTGATTTGTATGCTATGTGAATTACATCTCAATAAAGCTATTTAAAAAGCTAAAAACTAGAGATATAGCAACTAATGTACCCTTGCATGAAGCCTGAAAGGATCTGGTACTGGGGAAAAAAACAGCTCTAAATGCTGGGGATTCTGGATATGACACACAAACATATATATAAGATACTGATATATACATATGATATTACTGAATTAATGTTTTCTTAAATATGCTAGTGGTCTGGTAGTTATGTCTTCTCCCTTAGAGGTACTATCTGAAATCTATACAGTTTAAACACTACATCAGGAATTTGTTTTAAAATAATACATTTAAACATGTTGGGAGCTGGAGAGAGGATGGGAATACATAACAAACAAGATTGGCTGAATAATCCTTGAAGCTAAATAACAGGTCCATGGTGCTGTTATCTTTCTATGAGTATTTGTAAATGTGTACAACAGAGGTGTGTTTTTAAATCTCTTTTGCCTATGTTCTAGAACCCTTTTCTCTTTCCATTTTTAAGACACCTCTCCAACCTGATCTCCTAACCTTGCCTGGGCTGCTCTGCTGGGATTGTGAGGACCCAGGTGGTGACATGAGGCAGACTGTCATTCACAAATGATGGCCTAAGCCTCTGCTCCATAAGTTTCATCAGTCCTGTCTTCTTGCCTGTGAAGAGTTGGGTAGCACACCTCAACTGGGTACCCAGTGGTGTCCCAGTGTAGTTAGAACAAACCCAGGTTCCCCACACTTACCAACTTAGGAAATTTTGGCCTCCGTGGATTTTTTGAAACCACTGATTTCCTTCCTCTAAGCATCCATGCATTCTGTTCCCTCCATCTGAAATACTGTTCCCTTTACCTCTTTGTCAAGTAAACCCTTGCTTATCTTTCCAGTCTAAACTGAGGCATCTTTTCTAGAGGAGTCCATCTCTGACATTTCTACCACCAGTGACCAGTATCCTCCTAACACAAATTCCTCCATCCCTTATCATCACTAAAATGAAAACCATTAGTCTCATTCATGTCTTCATTCATGTCTTTCTTCAGCACCAGCAATAAACCTCTATGAAGGCACGGGCTATATGTGTTTGTGACTTGGGACTTGGAAAAGTCACAAATGCTTAACAGAACATGTATTGTTGAATTAAATGAAGGGGAAAGAGGAGCCCCATAAAGTTGATGAATTCTCAGTCTCTCACCACACTTCTACTTTAAATTCCATTATCCAGTGGGTCCTTCGATTTCTTAGTCCTATTCCCTTTTCCTCTCTCCTGTATCTAAAGACACCTTTTTTGGGGGGGAATTCAGGGAAGAGCAGAACGATTGAAAGGTAGTCAGTCACAGAATGGCCTGCCCAGGGATCAGGTGGGGATGGGCTCGGATTTCCTTGTGCAAGGACCTAGAAGATAATCAACCCCTTCCCCTCCCAAGAGGTGAGCCCCATTCAACCCAAGAACCCTGGCAGCCTGCCCTCAGAACTGCAGACTCGACAGCTTCCACTGGGGGGCACTAGATCACCACCACCTATGCTCAGTCCAGGTGTCCCGCGACTGGGAGGGAGGGGCAGGCAACCCAGGGGTGCTGAGCACCCAGTCATCAGTCCTGCCCAGGAGGTCATGGGGTGACAGGGGGCACATTTCTAATTTCCATGAAGATTAGGGATGTTCCCCCTCTCAACTCAAGGAGGAACAGCTAGTAGGTAGCAAAGAACACACAGACAGGGCTTTGAGTAAACTGCTTAGAGGAAGCCACTTCACCCCTCTGTCTCCCTCCATCCCCCAGCATCTCAAACGGCCATGAGTTTCCCTCATTCCTTCTTCAAATACTAAGTCATAATTATTAACCTAACTGACAGCGGGGAGAGCGTGAGAGAATGCTATGCATGCTGATGAGTGTGCTGTAGACCTTAGGAATCATTTGTTAGTAACACTCTGTAAAGCCCAAATCTTCTGCATCTATTCTAAGCCTCTAGCACCTTGAAGCACAGGCAACTCCACACTTGCCAAACCTTTTCACAGCCAAGGGAACCACATCCCACCTGGCAGTTCTGGGAACTGCTTAACAAATGCACTTCTCTCTCCATGCACCTCTAGACTTTTTGTTGATACTTCAATTGTTAACATTGTCATCCAGAACGAATACACAAAGCAGCCTTCGGTCTCCCCTTATGTGGGTCTGCAGGCCTGACCTGCCCTGCGCCGCTAACACCAGTACCTCAGCTCTAGCTTCTTCAAATACTGCTTATTGTATCTTTTATGAAAGCAAAATGCCATTTTAGGAAATTTGAAAAACAATGAAAAATGTAAAGAAAGTAAAAATTTCTTGTCATCTCCAATGGCGATTTCTCAACCTCGATACCATTCATATTTTTGGATAATTCACCATCAGCATCAGCCGGGGTCCACTTGACCCATCTCCGGTGGATGGACCCTGACGTGGTGCCCAGACCTGCTGAAGTCACACCTGCATTAGAGGCCTCGTGGGAGCAGAATTCCTGAATAGATTATGAAAACAAGGGCTGGAAAGGCAATTCCCGGATCTACAGAGGCTTCTGACATGCACTGTCAAACCCACTTCCCTGAAGCTTCTAACAGTGCTGTTTTTGCTAGTTCAGTAACAGTTTCACAGTGTTTCAGAGCGGGAGGTGGGGGTGGGAGGGGGGAGCCATGCTCTTCCAGGGAAGGAAGGGTGGTGGGATGGGAGGAGAGGTTGTTTCCAACACTCTTCCTGGGGACACGGAGGGCAGCCCCAGCTTATTTAATAACAGTTTGTTGTTCAACCGCCAGACATAGGCTGAAGGTGTCTCTGTTGTCAGGAGGCTGTTAGACTTCCTGTCCAACACACAGGCTGTGTTGAGACGTAATCGGGGCTTCACAGAGGCATAACAGCAGGGCTGTGAGCGCACAGGGACACCTACATGTGCTTGGCACTGCTGGCTGTGCCAGATCCTGGCGGCTGGGGCCAGGTGCCCCGCCAGCAGGGCAGGGTCACTGGGAGCTGCTTGAAACACAGAACCCTCAGGCCCCTTCCTGAGCCTCCACAATGGGCCTCCAGAACCAGAACCTGCTTTTTACACAAGGTCCTGGTAATCTGTAAGTTCAGCAAAAGGTAAGAAGCAATGGGTCACGTGCTTGTTCAAGTGTTTTCTAGAGTTTTACTGAACTGATCCTGACCCTCAGCCTCCAAAGACAACCACTTAGTTACAGTTTCTAAGAGTAGCGCTCTGGCCTGAGTTCATGCTGTGTCATGTTCTAGACACTGTTGTAGCAGATCACTACCAGTCAATGACCGATGTGTCAGACCACCGCCACCACCCTCATCAGCAACAGTAGCTTCAACATCATCACTCTGGGAAGGACTGGGAAAATCTGGAGCTGTAACTAAGGTCCCTTCTTGATAATCTGTGGATAGACCACATCAAACTAATGACTAGTCTTCCCGTTTCTTAGATACAGCCTAAACAACAAGCTTAGTCTGAATACTCAATAATCATGTCAACCTGCCCAGGTCACTTCACCAAGTGAGGGCACCACTTGGGGCAAGCGCTGACACTTACACATCTCTACAAGTGTCATCTGAAATGATAAAGGCAAAAGCACTTTGGAAAACTCACTATATACTCCCATTTATTTCTATCTCATAGCAGTATCTACACTGATTACCAAATGTGATAGAACATTTTACAAAATTCCATTCTGGGTGAAGTTTGAGTGGGAAATGGAGGAGGGTGTTTGTAGAAAAAGATAATTACCTGACCATCCTTTTTGTTTCTGTGTGTTGTAGGAGGTGAAGGGGTTAAGAAGAGAAGGGTGGGTAATGTGAGGGTGTTTGTGTTTTTAATGCAAAAGAACATATTCAGTGTTTGAACCAGATGTAGGAAGGATCATGCTTAGTGAAATAAGCCAGAAAGAAAAAGAAAAATACCGGATGGTTTCACTCATAGCAGGAGTGTAAGGGATCGGGGGGGGGGGGGGGAAGAAATTGTAATAAAGTAAAAACTAAAATACAACAAATAACTATAAACCAGAGACATTCTATGGGGGCGGAGAGGGAACAGATCATAACTGGGGTGGGAAGAGCACACGAGACTATGGTGATGGCACATGGGTGAAGGGGTGGTGAGAAGTCTGTGGGGTTTACAACTGAGATGAAAAAATGTACAAAATGAAGAATGAAATAAAAAAAATATAGTTAAAGAAAAAAACCCAAAAAGCAAAGGGTCACACTTATCCTTAGGTTGACACACCACTTCCAGCTGAAGTGCTTCATGGCGGTAGACTTCAGAGTCACAGAGTAGTACAGATTTGGGTCTCATGTTAAGCTTTATCAACCATATTCTGAAAGTGACAGCAAATCTAGACTGTGCCTCAGGAATGAGGATGGCAGGATGGAGCCCTTGTGCTACCAACAGTTACAATCCCATCTCCATCACCCAATTCCAAACCACTCTCAAAGGATAGAAAAAAACCACAAACCACGGTCATCTACTCTCCCCAGTCAAGGTGCAGCAAGATGATACACACGTACCAGCCACGTTCACAGCGGGGCAGCACTGGGCTGCAGCCCCTGGACCCCTGCCATGCCCGTCCTAGCAACACCGCCCTACACCTGGCTACCCCTACCTCCCTTAACAGGACCCCTTACCTGGGAGTCAACGGTGGATTTTCGGACACTCATGTGGGCAGTCTCTGGAGGGTGCGCTGGGGTCCCTGACGCGTGGTATCCATTCACTGCAGGGACAGAAACACTGCTCAGAGGCTGTGTGGGAGCCTCCAACTTCCTGCCTTGGTCCCTTCTCCCCCTTACTGCCTGGTTCTCAGGGGTCTTGCCCAGCTAGGACTGTCTCTCAGGATCTCACCAATATTTACAGAACTGGAAATGGGTTTCTTTGGGGATTGGGTTTCTTTTTTAAAGCGAAGGGGACAAGAAATGTGCTTGATAGAAAGTAAGGTTTCAAGAGCTCCACTGTCATCGCCAGAGACACGACATTTGTTGGGGGAAAGGATGTCCTGAAAGAACTCTGCAGATACAGGTTTTGTGGACTCCACCCCCACGCCAGACACTGAAACTATGAATCCCAGCAACACCAATGGGAGGACTGTTCGGACCTGAGGGCAGAGGTAAGCAACCATGTTTGTTAAAACTACAAATCCCAGCAAAGAGGGGACTGCTAGGACCCAACGGCTGAGGTATGCAGCCGTTCTGGGGATTTGGATATAAAGCTAGACATGCTGGGTGGAGGGCCTCTCTCTCTTGGCCTCGTGGCTGGCAACTGGTTGCTTGGCTCTTCATGAGCTTTCAGCATGCTACTAGGGTTCCAAGTCAGCGGAACTGGCAGGATGCATTAGTTAACTTGTATCTCTCTCTCTCTCTTTCCCTGGGTTCTTCCTTTCATTTTTCCCCTTGTAAATAAACCCATTCTAGACCTTTATGTGTGTGTTTGCAGTGCAGATGATTCTTAAGTGCACAGGTGAGGACCCACCGACAGGCAACCCAATTCACGTTGGGTTGCTTTGTAACACATCCACTCTGGTCATGGGTGCTGAGTAGGGCCACTCTCCATAGTTAGTGTCCCTTTACCAAGTTCTCTCCAAGCAGCCCATCCACCCGAGAAAACTCAAGGCTCTAGAATCCTACCCTATGACACTCACTCAGGCATGCTGATCAGCCCTGGGCCCCAAGCACTGCTCCATAGCATTTGCCAATTTCTATAGCATCAGTATCCCCCATCCTTGCCAGTGTGAAGGCCCACACCATGACATGGACATGGGGGCTCACACAACCTCACCTCAAACCATCGGTGCTGCTATCTCTGGATACAGTTATGTGAACTTAGGGAGAAGATCCTCCTTGGGGAGCCTCAGCTACTGTAGCTATAAAATGAGGATAAAGGATAATTCTACTTGGCCTGCAAACCTACTTTTTTGGTCTGAAAATCAAAGGAGACAATATTTGCGAAAGGGATCTATGAGTTGTAAAGTACCTCTTGATAAAAGAAGGGAGGGATATAGGTCCCAGCTTTTATTCCTGAATCTAATCTTCTTTGAACCCTGATCCCAGAAACCCCGAAAGCAGGAAAGCACGCCATCCTCATGTCCCAGGCTGGAGGAGTTGCCTCAACACAGACACTGTGCATGGTGCGTCTTACTCACAGGTCTTATTGAGATGCATGTGGTAAGAACAAGAAGCAAAGGCTGAAATAGTAACACTTGTTCATTTGGGGTGGCCAGGAATGGAGGCAGGTGATGCTGGCACTGGAGGAGGTGAAGACAACCCCACATGGAACTTTCTCATGTAGGGGGCTATCCCCCAGTCTCCAGAGCTTGCAGTGAGAATTCCCAGAGCAGCCTGTGAGCAGAGCCACACTCCGCTGTCAGTGGGCAGATGGGCTTCTCACCCCACGCAACTGGGAGGAAGGTGGGCACAGGTACACCAAGACAGCAGAGACAGGGCACAGAGCTGATGCCTAGTGCAAGGGCTGGGGAAGCGATGAGAAGAGGCAATTTACTTCATACGGCCAGCCAAACTGACACCCCTCAGGAGGTTGGCCACTGCTGATACTGCCCATGAATCCTCTAGCTTACAGGGCAGGCCAGGGTCCCAGGAGCATAAGAGAATGCAAGGGGCTATTAAGAATCTACCCACATCAGCATAAGCAGTGCCAGGAAAGGCATTACATTGATGATTAAGTATAACCCACAATGAAGGCGTAACATGTGAGAACTTGTATCTATCAAGTACCATAGCACTAAAAGGGATAAAAGACAGACTCAACAGTAAAAAATATAACTAAATTGTTTTCTATCTATCACTCGTTAGTGGACAAAAGTGACAATGTGAACTACCTCAATAATTCAATTTAAAAGGCTGATTGAACTAGATGTATTAATTATCCCAGCCTCCCAGTAACACATTTTGTCAAGAAACTATGAAACAATAAAAAAATCTATGCCAATATTCAAGCCACAAATAAAGTGCCAAAAAAAGTGCAAAAGGCATAAATAATATAGGCCACATTCTTTGGAGAGAAAGCAATAAAATTAGATATTAATAATGAAAGAACAAGTATACAAGGTCTACATCTCTCTAACTCCCCAAACAGTTAGAAATTTAAGAAAATGTTCTCTCAAATAACATCAGGTCAAAGAGGAATTTTAAATTGTAATCAGATAATATTTAGAAAATAACGAGAAAGAACATATCAAAACAAATGGCTTAAGGCCCGAATTATAATGGAGAAAAACCTATATCCTTTATTATTTCATTGTTTTATACCATTGTCAAGGGAATAAGGACTAAACATGACTAAGAAGTAAAAAAAAAAAAAAATTAAGCAATAAAATAAACAAAGGAAGACACTAGAAAGGAATATAAATATGGTAACAGAAATTAATGAGTTAGAGGATAAGATCACATTAGTAACACAGACTGATTCTCTTTGTGTGAGGTGGGAAACTATGGGAGAAATCACAGCAATAAAAAAGACAGATCAGCCTATTTTCAGAGTGAGAGAGAACACAAATGCTCAGCGTTAGGAATCAGAAAGATAAATACAGCAAACACAGTACATTTTAAAAAAGATTTATTTATTTATTCATACAGAACTAGGGTAGAGGCCAGAGGTGCAGGGGTGGTGAGAGGCTTCACCAGACACAGAGTGGGGAGCAGAACAGGCAGATCGATGAAGTCCACTGCTGAGGGGAGAGCAGGTAAGACAGGAGAGGTCTGCTGCACCATGTGGGTCTCCTGCAGGGCCGGGGATCGAACTCGCACTGAAGCGGCTGTGACTAGCTTGCAGTGCTGTGTCCTAACTCGTTGCGCCACCGGGGAGGGCTGCAGTACATGTTTTTAAAGCAAGAGCAGTATTATAATTAAATGGTAATAAAATATCGAATTTTCTGTAAGCTTACAATGATCAAAATGGTTTCAAAAGATACTAGAAAAAGCAAAATGAGTAATACTTTGAAAAGTGCCCTCCCGGCAAAGGGCACTGGACCCAGATGGTTTTATGGGCAAATTTGTTCAAACTCTGGACAAAGAAATTCCCAGGCAGAAAAGTGCCGCAGAGTACAGGCACATGTGATGAATCTTCCAGTTTATTATTATTACTTAAAGCCAACATCACCCTGGTTCTAAAATCTATCAATGACAACAAAATACTGGAGCAGTTTGGTTTGACTGTGAGAAGGAACTCTGTAGTTTCTAGCAAGCAGGCCTTAGTTAGCAACCACTCACTACTTTGGTGATGCTGGCTCACTCTAAATCAAGTTTCTTTCCCAGTCCCTTAAGGACAGAGGTTATCCTCTGACCCCTACTTACTCCCTTTACAAAAGTGCACCCCAACACACTGTTTCCAACATCCCCCAGGCCCACAGCCCACCACACATCGGCAGCCAGGACTGTCTAAGGATGGGCCTTTTGTCCCTGATCAGTCCTCTTGTTATCATGTTAGTTCTGGTCTGTCAGCTGCTGGCTAATTACTGCTCATGTCAAAACAATTACTGGGAACGAAAAAATAATTTTCCATTGAACCATTTCTCCCCACTCAGCAATTCTTTGACACCCTGTCTTGCCACATTTCATTTTATCGGTCCCAGGCACATTCAGAAAAGGGATCGGTGGAGATGAGATCAGTGAGGGCCCAAGCGAAGCATCAGTGCTCACCCATGTTAGCATCCTCAGTGCCATGAGTTCCCAGGTTATCCAGGGTCAGAGGCAAAATAAATGAGGCCAGAAGTGGGTGCTTTTGAGGGGCCCCCCTCAGAGGCGGGTGTGTGTGTGTGTGTGTGTGTGCGCACAAAATTAGCCAGGAATCATGTACAATCATAAGAACATAATTCTATTTGGGGATACAAGAAAAGTACGAAATGCCAAATGCAGTGGTTTTTACAAAAAAGGGAACAAAAAGTTCTAAGTAACTTTAGTAACTTCAGATATAAATACAAACACACGCGCGTACATTTCATTCCTCTTTATGGGCAGTTAAAAAGACCAAGAGAGAGCTTGGGAGGTGTGGAAGAAGCGGAGGGGACAGCTGTTTGGATGGAAAGGAGGAGACCAAGGTCTTTGAGGGTGGGGAAAAGGAAATGAATAAGAATGGAAGAGAAAGAGCATTAAAAAAAGCTATAAAGAGAGAGAGATGAGCAAATGAAGGACAGCCAGTGGAGGCTGCCCAGAATTCACATCCGGCTGCCTCTGCTCCAACTCCACTTAAGGAGTTCACTCTGCCAGGGCCTACTTCCAGGTTCCTGTTCCCTAAAGAACCCCAAATGGTGGCCTTACTCTTCCAAATAAGACAATCAAACCCAGCACTCCCTTTTCTTCGTCCTCAGATCTGGTCTCCTCTCTTTTCTATCTCGAATAAACACATAAACATTTTCCCTCCATATTAAAAAAACTGCACTCCTTCCTCCCACCCTCACCCCCCCATATTATTTGACATGGTAGAATGTTAGGCTCTCCCAAGCGTGGGCTAGACACCCAGCCTGCAGGATTTGTTGTGAGTGTTAAGCAGGGAGGACGAAGAGGAGGGCTTTATGATCCAGTTTGGAACAAATGTCTCCATTATTCTGATGAAGAAAAAAAAATCACAGCAGACCTTTTAAAATATGTGGCTGTATGCTGTGACTTGGACAAGACTCCAGTGTGCTGTGTTCCTACACTTAAAACGACAGCACTCAGTGGGGGCAGGAAAGCAGGAATACCAAGGAACCCACTTCGGGAAACACAG